AAATAATTTCATTGGTATTTAATGTAAAATCCTCGATACAATCGTATTAAGTGAAAGAATTTCGCTTTCTAATTATTCAATTTTTATTTTTGTATAGATTTTGGTAAAAAGAAAAGAAAAGTATTTGTTTTGAAGGTAAATACATTTCTTTTAATGTAAATAAGCAACGTAGGCATAAAAAAAAACATCGTTGCAACGGTTTATTTAAGTGTTGTAATAAGTTACATGACGACAAAGGAATTAATTAATTGTTTTCGAAATTGTGAAGTTATGCAAGAAAAGAAAATGAAGTTGAATAACAGTTTTGTAAAGAAGAGAGAGGAGTGGAGTGAAATTCTTCCCGTTTTCCAGAATTTATTCTTTTCTACTCGATGGTTAAATTGGGGGTTTACGTTTTATTATTTTTCTATATATTTTTCAAAACTCGATAACAATAATTATTCTCTTTTTTACAAGAAAATACGGAATAAAATAAATTCAAATGAAACGGCTTTTTGAATGGAGATGAGTATATCGTTATATGGTTCAGAGTTGTTCAAGAAAGATCAACTCGAAAATCTCCTTCACAGATAACAATAAGGCGAAGAGTAAGAAGTCAAGAAAAACGTTGAGTTTATATACTTCTTTGATCGTTATTTTCGATTATATTTGATAAGTCTGGAAAGATACACGAGTCTGAGGTATAGTTTGAAGGTTTGGATCTGCATGTATAATTACCTTGAGCTCTACGTTTTCTCTGGCGTAGTTTTATCCCTATCGTCTTGAAATGTTATGTCTTCTTTATTTCTTTTATGATCTCTTTGACAAATAGATCTAAGATATCTTCTTTTTCAAAGATAATAACAAGACTTAAAAATGACGCATAAGCTGATGCCTAAAGCATCAATACAAAGCATATCAATGTAACTAATGATGTAACAGTTAAGGTATGCGAGGTAACTTGTGTTAGTCGAAGTAAATGATTTAAGTCATGTTACTTGCTTTATTGATTTGTCAGCTATTTTAATGTCCAAATCTAACTTGATTTCTAGATTTTCTGACATACGTGATTTCTTCAATTGTCTTTGAAGACGCTGTAACTCTGTTTTACTTAAAATTTCTTCTATAAGGATTTCTTCTAGAAATAGATGAGCTACCTCTGAATTATGGAAATGAGTGGTGAGGATGATTTCAGGTAAATATCCTATACACGTATTTGGCTTTATTATTATTTTAAGGATTATTTATTGCTGTCGATAAATATACTTATTTTATTGTATAAGAAAAATCTATTCGAAACTCATTTACATGTAAAACTAAGTAAGTAATTTAATCTACTTTTTTTGAAATTGTGTATGAATTTCCTTCTATCATAAGAAGTATTATAATCTATATATATATATAATCGAGACGGGTTCATAATGATAATAATATCAATATCACATACATTATAGACATAGCCATTCCAAACACTCACAATGTACAAAACACATGCACTGAAAAATTAGCAAGTACACAGAATTCGCCCAGGAAATAAGGCATCTGTGGAGGATGGATAGGGTGCTTATTGTACCTGTTGTTCTCTCCTGTACAGGTGTAATACCACACACACTACATAAAAGCCTGGGAACATTACAATTGAATAAAAATACATACATAACACTACAGAAGGCCACTATATTGAATACATGACATATTGTTGGGAAATTTCTGAATAAAGACACTGACATACTTCTTTAATTTTAGTTTTATTTTCGTTGCTATGCCTTGACTCTGGTCCGGCATAGTACACAGCCATCGGTGTGAACCGAGTATAACCCACTAAACACAATAATAATAATAATAAGCGCAGAGTTAAAACGGTTAGGAGGTGAAAGTCGAAATTTGGTACACAGTTAGGGTACGTCACGAAAACGGACACTAAGAAGGGATTTTTCGAAATTCCTCCCTACGGGGGAGAGAGACAGTAACAATGTCAACAATGGAAGTCTTACGTAACAATGGAATTGTTAAGAGATAGTAATCACATAACTTTACATATATGATATAGTAATTGACATTAATTAAACATTGTATATATATAGGCCTATATACATGCTATAATTATAATACACATTGTATTATAATTAAATATAATGTATTTATTTAAATATTTACAATATTCCTTATAATAACAAAATTAACAATTAAGTAACGTTTGAATTTACATAAGACACGATTCACTAATAATTGTCCATTAATAAATTATTTAAAAAGTATAAAACTTTATTTTATTCGAAGCGTAATTAACCCGAAATTCCTCAAAAAACGAAAATAAGTCTTTTAAAATATTTAAAATTTGATATAAAAATCAAAATATTTATTTACTTTGTAAAGCGAAAGATGTTTTCGTCTGTTATTTTCTCTTTTCTTTTGCGTCTGTGACGTGTGAATTTACAGATCGTCGGCTACACAAGTACTTAAATGAAGCGACACAAAGGGAAATTGACGAAAAAAGTAGCAGTTATTGCAGCTATTTATAAATATTTACTGAATGTCAGCAGCCATTCGTTGATTCTAAGTAGATCGATACTTGAAAAAACCAGTGAGACATGTCAACAAAATCGATTTTAAGAAAATACGGTATAAAATTACGAAAATAATTTTTTCTATCTTTAAAGACAGAAAAATGTCTTTAAAATAAATTCTCGTTTTTCCTATTAAAATTTTATTTCGTTAACAAAATAAATTGAAATCTTTCGATAAAACTAATACAGAAATTAAGCGATAAGATTTATTTCGTCGGGAATTTTGTCGTATTTTATTTCGCTTAAAGTAAACGTAATTAATAATGAAGTTCTCCTCTTTATATTCAAGTTAATTAAACATTTTCAGTTGTATTTATGTTTCTTTTTATTACAATTAGCTTTAAAACAGAATTACGTGTTCTACTCGTAATTGTAATGCTAATCGGAACAATAGGATACACTTAACAACGAACAGATACAACTCCTACACAAAAGATTAGAATATTAGCAAAATGTGGGGTAAACGTAAGAAATGCAATAAAATAAACTTAATATTTTGTGGCGTCGCCGTTTGCCATAATTAGTACTCGCAATCTGTCGGGCATGGTGCGGATTTCAATGGGTTAAACACTTGCGTGCGCAACGGAGAGCAACTGGAGCGAACGTTAGTAGCCGAACCAAATGCCGAAGGTTGCACGACTTGCCTTTCAACTGCCGTGTTCTCAAGACGAAGCACGAAAAAGCAACGACAAGAGAGTGTCAGATAGTGCAGAGAAAGGCTCAGGCGGAACAAGACGAACGACTGGAATAATGTTGTCTTCAATGACGAATCTCTGTTTTGCCTCTCCCGTGGTGACCAAGGCCCACGTGTATGGAGAACAACCAAAGAGCCCTTCGAAAAGGACTGTATGGAGAGATCCGTGAGGTTTGTATCATCTGTCATGATGATAAGGGATGCATAAGTGTTAACGCTCTTAAAGCGGTTTTCGTGACAATCCTTCTGAAGTTTCTCTCATCCCCGGCAGTCGTTGCTCGTTTACGTCCACCTTTTTGGCGTTTATTAGTTAAAACTGTTCCGTTGTTTCAGTACTCTAGAGGCTATTGGCTGCGAGCACTTTACATAATTCTCAATTTATTTTTGTGCTCTTCCTACTTTGTGCCAGGCTATGATAATATCTTTAGTTCTGTCATTAATGTCGTACTTACGTTCCATGTACTGTTATACTGTTCTGCCCAGCAATATGGAAATTTGCGTTACAATTTAGTTTTTTATGGCTGTTTGCTTGGTTGTTTTTGCTAATATTCTAATGTTTTGTCATTTCATTTCCAATTGCAACAAGAGAACGTTTTAGCTAATTTGTCTGATTAATGGATATAATAAATAGGCATTGTTTATGTACGGTCGAAAAAAGTTTCGTACTCTGTGTTGTTCATCAGATAACGTACACTAAACTTCCAGTTAGGTGAATAGTGTAATTGTTTGTCTAGGAGTTGTAATTATACAAATCACACAGTCCCTAAGTGTTTCTACGCATTTCTTTGCTAATAACAACCTCTCGATATAACGACCACTCCATACAAAAGCTCTTTATATGAACAAAATTGCTGTTTTCGACATTTGTACGTATTAAGTCTTTATATAGATATTGATTTATTTTAGTTGTTCGGAAGTTCGGTCTGTCGAAATTCCTCTGTATTTTATCGGCAACGTTAAACGTAAGATAACGAACAACAAATAAAAGTATACGTGAATAATATTTTACAAAAGAAACGAATAGAATTGTAAGCTGTCATCCGAATGGAAAGCATCGGCAGTGAGTTTTTATTTTTAACTCTATTGTGGATTAAGATAAATATATTCTTTCGTAATACGTGAGATAAAAGGGGCTGTACTTCAATACCTATGTAACTTATATATTTAGAGTTTTATGTTTATTGGTGTTTTTATTCGTTTTATAGAAACAAATTTTTGTAGTTTCATAAACCTTAAAAAAAGGCGAATTTTATTTCTTGGTTTACAACGAAGAGTCGTTTTATCGGATTCAGATTTTTGGATTTAACCTTTTAAGTTTTTCGGCTGTTATAACAGAGGAAAAGTATGGCAATCGATCAAGAAAGACTTCCTTTCTCGAGATTTTTACATTTTTTGACTCGGGGATTTAGAAACGTCGAGAAATTTTGAAAAATTGGGAGATTTTTTCTATATGTAAGGTTTTTAGTGTGTGTGGTGGGCGCGTATTTGTTCATTCTGTTTGCAGCTTAATAGCTCTTGCGCGTTTCGTGGAAAATTTCTGAAATTTTGCAAGAAGATTTGTGTATTGAGTGATTGATGCAGTTAAACTTTAGTGGTTAAAGATCGAGGAGTTGAGGAGAAAATGGGGGTCGTGTGTATCTCCAGTAGGGTCGGTAATAATGTCGACTTTACTCGTTATTAGCGCTTACAATTTCTTTTAGAACCCATCCTTATCCTCAAAATTAAACTTTTGCCATTTTATAATATTTGAAAGTATAAAAAGTACTTTTAATAAAATATCGTAACAGATGGCGTTACCAAAAGTTTAAATGTTGCCGGGAAAGTTGAGCAACTCGTCTGATTAACGTTTTCATATATCATGAATATTCAATTTTACAGCTTAAAAATAGTAAATGATCCACCTTTTCACACATAGTTTCGTTATCTGAAAGCTTAGATATATAACAATTATGTTCTGGAAATAAGAAATTCTATTTGTATTTATTTATTTTTGATACTACTCGCTTTGTGACTACTAATTTAAGTCGTTAATCGAACTTACTATGATTTAGGTCTTCTAGAGGAACTTTCGACACGTTTGGAAGAGGCAATCCATCGTGCTGGTCCCTAAAACGATCAGCTGATTCATATTATTCGGCCGTCATGCTATTTTACTTACCACGAATTATATTAAAATATTTATATAAAATCTTACATAAGTTAATTTAGAAAAATGAAGAAGATAAACATGGAAATTGTCAACTACCGAAAGTATGTATCCAAATTTGCATAAATTACCTTTCATTATATAAAATACTAGCTGTTACCCGCTACTTCGCCCGCGGAGGTTTTGCAAGCAAACCCCATTTACATTCAATATTTCAATACCCATAGTAATTGTTATATGACACCTACCGCTGAGAATGACGAGAATTGCCGAGAATCAAACGAGCTACTTTCAATTTGATCAATTTTCTGGAACGTTTACAATCGTTCTATAATCGAACCAATATACAATAACATATTCGAATCTAAAACGGTTCGAACATTTTTAAAATCGAAATAGATAAAAATATTTATAACAATGTTTGAATAGTTGTCAATTTAATACACCTAAGTACTCGATGAAGACTTAAACCTTTCCCTCTCCCCCCGCGAGGGAATTTCGAAAAATCCCTTCTTGGTGTGCGTTTTCATGACGTACCCTAATTGTGTACCAAATTTCATTTCTTTAGGTTCAGCGGTTTGCTCTGGGCGATGAAGAATCAGTGAGTCAGTCAGTCAGGACAAGCAATTTTATATATTTAGATTTATTGCGGTTGATAAGAGTATAAATAATTCATCATAAATTAGTTAAGGAAATTCACTTGTCACGCTGAATTAATCATGAACAGTGACGTTAATGGCGAGTGATTATTATTTAAACACGGATAACAGAGCAGATATTTTCATTGAATATTACACGTAAAGATGAAGATGTAAATCCGTAATTCAAAATTCACTTCACTCGTGAGTGTATTAAGTGCATATTCGTGATTGAATAATTCACTTCGATGGAGTGTCTGGTGTACGAAACACGCGAAATTCCAGTCTTGATAGTTTTTCCGTTGATATACCGTCTTATCCAATGCACTTGTAAGGTTAGTTGTTTAAAAGCTTATTGGTGTCATCTATTAAGTGTATAATTGTTAATTAGTACACTTTATATATACATATTTTCTTCTTTTATTTTATCTTTTGAGTATATTATATTATTTAAATATTTACTTTTTTTATTTATTTCACTGTGTAAGCAATTATCAATTAGCGCAACATATTTTGCCTTCAAAAATAGAAGATTTTCGTATGAAAAGAAATATTACAGTTGTGTTTTTCTGCTGCTGTCAAAACTCTTTAAACACTAATAAATCCAGCTTTTGAAAAACCTCAACACTTTTTGGAAGTGAAGCGAAAAAAACAAAAGTTATCGTAAACAAAACAAGAGAATCTTCATTCCTACGCGGAAATCTTTTATCAAATTTAACACTAATATTATTGGGCTGCCATTTGAAAAAGATTGTAGACATATAAATTAGCACTGTCGCCTGTTTCTGTTCTTCCTTCTGCTCGATAACAGACTTAGATAAAATCTATCTAAACGAAGAAAGAAACACTAGGAGCAATCGAGCCCGATTAATAATATACAAACGTCTGATTTGAAGTAGAATTCGTGTTACTTCGATTAAGCTATTTCCACTGAAACCGTTATATATAATGACAGGCACAATTCTACGACTGATATACTATCCTGTGTGCTAATATGCATATTAATTGCAATTAAACTGCTGAAACTAAGATACTTTTATCTTTGTATTCTACACAACATTGCCAATACAGTATTTATTTATTTCTGATCTTATTAGTGTTTTCGGTAAAATTTTTATTATACGATATCATAATAAACGAATAATCAGTTCACTTTTATTCCTTTTTTAGTGTTTTTTGCAAACATACAAACGGAAAAAATAACTATTCATGTGACAAAATTAGAGAAAATCAAGAGCCAGATTGATCAACTGGGCCTAGGCGTGACTGATTACATGTTAACTATGAAGCTCTATATTGTTTCAGTAGTGACATCAAAACATCTTGTGTCTGAATGTAAATTATTTTCATAATGGGTTTGTTATTCCTGTTTTCATATCATTATTCTAGTTTCTTCCTTAGACCAAGCTTTAGAAATAATTTCTCGAGCTTGGACTAAAGAAGAAACTTTAAAATTTGCAATTTTATTTATTATTTTTTATACTCTTTGTGCAGGTATCACGTTGATAAAATTTATAGAATTTCTCTATAAATTTTGAGTTATTTCACGTTAAAAACTATTAGCTTTGAAGGTAAATACTTTTCTTTTGATATGAGGATGAGACGTAAACAAGAGGAAGCCACACAAATGCTATCGATTAGAAATAACTCCATTGTTGTTATGGAAGCTTATTATTAATTGTTCTAAAAATTAAAATTATTTTATTTTTATTTAAGTATTTTTTGTTAAGAATTGAAGAACTTCTCATATTATTTTGAAAGTCATTAAAATTAATTAAAAAGTTAATTTAAAAGTCGTAAACAACATTAGACTTTCTACTTTATATGATATTATCAATAATTATTAATATGAGAATCGTGTGGTTAAAGTTTTTCTAGACCGAAATACACTGTCTATACCGAATGATTTTATTAATAAATTGTATTTCTAACTGTATCTAATTATTTTCTTGTGGCTTCTGCTAAATTCATTTCAGTCTAACTTAGTAGTTTTAGGAAATTAATGGAAAAGTATAATTGCATGTGTCAGAATGCGAATATTTCAACTTTTCTGTCATGTATACGAAATCATACCAGCCATTCATTTCTTTTACACTCAGATTTTTTGATAATTATCAAACAATTTCTACATTGATTATAATGAATGTAGAAATCGTGTCGTACGTTTACCAAAGAGAGGGATGTTTCGGTAGAACAAAGGGACAAAAGAACAGTTTGAGCTGTTCAGCAGAGAGGAAAATCATACCAATAATCTTTTCGTTAAAGACTGAAGTTTCTGCTGTACCAGAAGAGAAAGGACAAGCTCCTAAATTAAACATCTAGGCATTTTCTTTGATAAAGTTGAACCCCTGTTGACTCCGAACCCTGGTGTATCGAACCAATTTGCGCTATTGTAGACTAGTTTCTGTACTGAAGAACATCACATTTGTTAAATTATGAAAGTACAATTTTGATTTTGATGATATTTAACTAATTTGCATGAAGACGCTACTTTATACAATAAAGTATCATTAATACACACGAAACACTAAATGTATACTTCGGTATTGACATTTGTATCACGGAATACAAAAGAATATATTCTTGTAATCCACAATAGAGTTAAAAATAAAATCTTACTGTAAATATTTTGCATTCGATTCAAAGATTACAATTTACCGTTTAATCTATGAAATATTATTTATACGCAGTTTATTTATTGTTCGTTTATGTTTAAAGTCGTCGACGTAACACGAAGGTCTCTCTGTACAGCGAACTCTCAAAGCACTCAACTAAATAAATAACTGTGTAAAGACTTAACTAAACACACAAAAGGAGTGAGCACCGTCAACTTTGTTCACTGTATCGAGAAACATTTTATAAAGAAATGCGTATTAACACTTAGGCATTGTGTAATTTGTATAATTATATCTTCGTTGTTAAGTGTATCTTTTTGTTCCGATTAGCAATTAGAACGCGTAATTTCGTTTTCAAGTTAATTGTAATAAATAGTAACATAAATACAATTGAATATGTTTAACTCGAATATAAAAAACATTATAACATTAATTACGTTTAATTTAAGAATTCAATTTATTTTCTTTTAAGCAAATAAATTTTTAATATTAGAAAAGAGAATTTAACTTTTTAAAGACATTTTCCTGCCGTTTGAAGGAACAAAAATTCTTTTTCAAATATAAATTTGGAGTTAATACCGATTACACGGTTGATCGGATTTACTGAAATTATATTCAGTTTGCATTTAAAATTCGAAAATTATTTCTCTCATCTTCTGTTTTCACAGAATTAAATATTGATACACTTTAACATTATAAATTTATGTCTTATCATATTTATTTGTATTTTGTGAAAATGAGATTTTCTTAATTCGCCTGACTCGTCCTTTTAAGTATAATTGATTTAGCATCACACAATGTTTGCTTACGTTCAATAAATATTTTCAATTAGCTTCTATAACTGCTTCTTTTCTTCGCCGGATTCATTCTGTGTCACTTCATTTAAGTATTTGTGCAATCGACGACGTTTTAAATTCACACGTCACAGAAATAAAAGAAAAGAAAATATAACAGACGAAAACATCTCTTGCCAATTCAGTACATAGAAACTTTTTACAAAGTAAAGAAATATTTTTATTTTATAGCAAATTTTAAACATTTAAAAAAATATTGTCCTTATATTAAGGAATTTTTGCTAATTACGCATCGAATAAAATGACGAGTTAATACTTTTAAATAATTTATAAACGAACGATTTCGGAGACGATAAATTGAATTTTATAGCGAAACGACAAGAGAATCTCCCAGGTTTGTATTGTGCTAATAGAAGAAAATGGTTAAATAGAGTTCGTATGATTCAACACTTAAATTGTATTTTCACAATTTAGATTTCAGTGTAAATATTAAAAATAAATACACAATGTAAANTAATTTATAAACGAACGATTTCGGTGACGATAAATTGAATTTTATAGCGAAACGACAAGAGAATTTCCCAGGTTTGTATTGTGCTAATAGAAGAAAATGGTTAAATAGAGTTCGTATGATTCAACACTTAAATTGTATTTTCACAATTTAGATTTCAGTGTAAATATTAAAAATAAATACACAATGTAAACAGAGTATTTGGTGCCCAAATCGCGCGAGCATAAAAAAACAGATAGGTAATTGGGGGACCGAGAACCGAGTCAAAATAAAATACAAAATGGCCACACTCTCTATAAACAGGCAAACCGAAGTCAGGCGGTGAGAGTACCATTAGGTAGTGGACTGTGACCCTAGGACTCAACACGTAGTATTTTCTTTGTTAAATAAAATTTGTAATTTAATTTTGTAAATTTGGGTGTGCTTCAAATATGACATTAAAACAGGGTTTTATGTCGTTAAAAATAAGTTTTTTAACATGATCTGGTATTGTGAAATCGTGGGACCTATAAAAATTTGACGTTATATTAAAGTTGTCGTTACATCCGATGACGTTATAATCGGGTTAAACTGTATATTGTTTGCGCAAAATCAAAAAATAATTTCGGACGATACAATAGCCACGATTATTGCATCGAGTACGATCTCGTGGTCGTGGCCGGCGAAGTTTAAACGATCGTCAAAATAATTTCGCTGTTGTCATTCATATACATTCGTTCTCGATATTAAAGAAAGACAGACAGTCAGACGGACGACAGTGAAAATTTATACTTTTACAGTTTTATTTAATCGCTGCCCAATAAAAATTTATGAGAATTTTCTAACCTCGAGCGGCAGAATTTAATTTTTAATTGTATTTTAAAGTATTTATTTTCAACTCACGTTTAAAAATAAAAGTACAAACACGAAATTCTTTTTTTTATTTAATTAATGCTGTGAAATGATTTCTCTTTTCTCTCAATTACATCACATTTGATATTAGACTTTCAAATTAAATTATTATTTATTAAAAACAGGATTTCATAAAGAATAAGAATAAATTTAATTAATCTTCGTATTATAGAAGTAATTAGAAAGTATGATCTTAGTATGAAAATAAATAAATGAGTTTATTCGAGTGAAATTCTTATAGAAATTTTTTCAGATGATTTCAAATGCCAAATGTTTTCTATATTGAAAATTGTTTTCGGTTAAAATGAAAAGAAAAATATCCAGCAACGAGTTGCCTATCTTTCCCGGCAACATTTAAAACTGCGTATGTGGCGCCATCTGTTACGATATTTTGTTTCGACAATATTTATATTTTTAACTATTATAAAATGGTAAAAAGTTTAATCGTGAGGTTAAAGATGAATTTTGTAAAAAATTTTAAATGAAAATAATGAGTAAACTTGTCATTAAATTCCATCCTATTCCAGATATAACAGGACTCTTTTGACTCTTTTATGTTCACTCGGACGTTAATCATGAAAATTTAATAGCGTCAATCCCCATAAATAGACAAACTTTCTTGCAAAATTTCAGAAATTTTTATGAAAAAATCACCCCTATTTCGGTGATAAAAACGTGAAGAAAGCTGCAAACACGTGGCTAACCCGTCAGCCAGACTCCAAATTGCGACAGATTACCTGTGTTCGGCTATTAATGCACTCTGCCTTTAAAAAGCGATTTTAACGTTTATATTTTATATATTAAAGTACAAATCAAATTAAATATTATTAGATTTCGCAGATTTTTTTCTCAATAAATAGTGTGTTTTCAGATAAAATCTCTGTTAAATATACAATTATTTAATGTAGTCTTAATGCAGATTTGTTGTTTCGTATCTCCACTTTTATATTCAAATATTTATAATAACAAAGAAGGAAATTTGAAACTTTCTCATTTCTTTTCTTTTTCTCTTCAACAAAAGCTTTTCTACTTTTTTTCTTAAAGAACGAAAGATCAATAAAATAACGAAAATACACTAGGTAAATCCTTTATTGTTTATCCTTTCATGTACTTTTTAAATAGAAAAGAGTTTTTTATAGGTTTAGATTCCCATAGATCTTTAGTGTCGAAAATTCTATAAAAGTATCTAGAACAGAAAAGAATTGGAAAGTTCTATTTCAAGTTAGTTAAGAATGTATTAAGAATTGAGCTACAATGTGAAAAAATTGTAGAACAATAAACTCGCACTGGCTGTCTGTCCTTTCTTACTCTCGAGAACGGTGTTACATAGACGAAAGACTACACCAGATGTGCAAAACATAGGTTCAGGAGAGTCGGATTAAATGTATACGAACTTTCGCTTGGAATCGGAAGTGACGTTATTTCGATTGAAATATTGTCTCCGGAATGGTGTTTATATACAAGACAGGCATGATTATATTGTTAATAGGAAAATGTCATGAACAGTGGCGAGACACTTCTGAACTTATGTGAATTGTGAGGAGAAATTGCCGCCCAGCATTGTCACATTGTTTAGAGAAATAGATTTTATAAGAATATTTGTATTTATAATAAGTTATTATTTCTAACGGAAGCTGAATCAGTTTTTGCTTCAAATTGTTAAATAAAAGATATTTATTGTAAAGCTTGCAAAATTATGTTAGCTGTTATTATGTTTCGTGTACTAATGACTTATCTATTAAGCCGATTATCTGTTCATATAAGCCTAATATCGGTTCAATTATTATATTTATTTAATTTAATAACAAGATTCTG